CCTGCTCGGCCTGCTGTGTTCATCCAGCTCTACACCTTGTTATCTCAGATTTTCCAGCATCTGCAGTTCCTACTATCTCTGCTTTTTTTTGATGTATTTGACTTAAGTACAATGATGAAGCACCCTCCAGTCAAAGAGTATTTCAAGACTGGGACATCAACTGGAATGGAGGTTATATCGTGAAGAGGAAGTCAGTCACATCCACCTATTTAAAGGCTTTTCAATCCCTCCTTCTTTTTTGTGGCTACTTTATTTCTCATGGCAGGTTCAAAACAATGATGAAATGAAGTTGAAAATACACAGTCATTGGCACCTTCAGCAGCCTCTGCTGTGACTCACAACCACAATTTTGTTCCTAATCCATTTCTTTCACTCTTAAATTGCATCAAATTAGCTGGCATAAAGCATTCCTAAATGTTTTCCCATCCAATGACCAATAAATGGAGTGAGCAGTGAGAAAATGCTTACAATTAACTCTTTGATAGGCTCAGTAGTTTGTTAATTGATTATTTAAAAATGATGGGCAAACTTCTACTTTACATGCCCTCTTTTCCATAACAAAGGAGACTTGTGTGCTTAATGTCAAATTTGCAAATCTAATCTATAGTTATTTGTGCACACAAAACAAACACTGTTGGTGGGTTGTAGAATAAGGAACTGTACATTTGTAAAGTCTCATTTCATGAATTAACCTGAAATTGAGTGAGATTGAATTCTGGCCTCTTTCAACTGACTGTCAGAGGTTTAACAGTCCTCTGCTCTTTCTGCTGTGATTTTTGGGGGTGAATGGTCCTGTGCTCCCTCTGCTTTGTGTGCAACCCATCTTGTCAAAGTGAATAAATTAGCAAATAAAAGCAAAGAATTGCAAACATTGGAGATCTGAAATGAAACAGAAAATAGTGGAGAAACTCAACAGATCTACCAGATCTATTGAGAAAGAAGCAAAGTTAATATTTCAAGTCAGCATGACTCTTCTTCAGAACTCAGAATTAAAATCAGTAATTTGGCTTTTTGCTGCCTGGAGGTAAGGGACTCTGTGACTGCATATGGTGCTCAATGGCTCCTCTGTCACAATATTGTTGAGAATAAGGTGCATGGTAATAAGAGGAGGGCGATATTCGAAAGAGAATCTACTCTAGCGGTTGAGAATAAAGGGATGACAATGGGGAAGCAGTCAAAGATAAATTTAAATAATTCATGAAGAAGTTACGTAAAATCTTCCCCTAAACAATTTAATGTAATTTTAAATATTTATGATTTAAAGCAAGTAGAAATTAAATATTAAAATGTGAAGAAACACTTGCATTTAAACAGTGCCCTTTGCAACCTCCGGATATCCCATAGATCTTTATAGCCAGTGAAGTACCTTCTGAAGTATTGCACACAAAAGAGAAGGAACAGAGCAGAGATAGGAAAAGCAAATTACACATCGCAGAAATCAAAACATGATGTTAATGCCAGAACAGCAAAAGGACCCGAGGTTTTTAAGGCAGATTTATAAATGAATTGTCAGTGTACTAAATTTTTATGTGTTTTATATTTGTAGCATCTGTTGAGAACTAAAAGAGCAGAAACACAAAGGAGAGCGGTAGAACCTCAAAATGATCCTGCACAAGAGAAGAAGCAGTTGAATAAATGGTGAGTTTTTTTTCTTTCACACTTCAATTTATCTATAAATTAATAGCTTAATACATACAGCGACAGCTTTACGCATGTGGAATGTTCATCCTGCATCATGTGGGAAATCCAGGACGTTTCATTTGTCCTAGGTAACCACATGCAGGAAGTGATGGTATCCGGGAAGCTACAGTTTCAGTCTTCAGAGGTTGCGAAGTAGCTGGGGTCACTGTCGTGCATTCATGCTGTCGTGATAACATTTTGCGACACATTCGCCCTGCAATTTAAAAGTGTGCAGGCAATGAGGTACTGGGACATAGCCAACAGATGAAAAGGATCAGGCAGATATTGTCATAGTCTTCCAAAGACATTCACTCACTAACCAGTATTGAGTTCTAATGAAGAAGAGGGTTCGTTTAGAGAATACAACCAGGGCCATGGCACCGTGAATGGCTCAGCTGTACATGGAGACAACAGAAAGATCAGGAGAGCAATAATGATTGTGAATTTTATAGTTAGGGAAACCGCCATGCTTTTCTGCAGGTGCAGATGAGATTTCAGGATGGAAAGTTGCCTCCAAGGCGCCAGAATCAAGGATGTCCTGTGCAGTTGCAGGGAATTTTGAAGGAGGAGGCTGAACAGCTGACAGTTCTCATTTCAGTACCAATGACATAAGCAGAAAGTGGAATAGAATTTCTGCAGCCTGACCTTTGGGAGGAAGGAAAGATAATAATTAAGCAAGATGTTAGAAACAGCAACTTCCAGATTTATCTTGATTCACACACTAGCAAGAAGAAATATGAGAGTTTGGAGTAGGTGAATATGTGGCTGGAGAGACGATGCAGGAGAGCACTTTTCATTACAGAGACGTTGGATCAGTTTTGAGGGATGAAGCTAGACAGTTGCTCTTCAAACAAGTCAGGACCAATGTCCCCATGGTTGGTTTGCTCTTGTTTTAGGGACATTTAATTTAACTTGACTGGCGGATGATAATCAGGTTTAGTATTAGTAAGGAGAAACATTGTGTACCAAGGATTGGGAGAGCTGTGGTAGCTTTAGAGTAAAATATAGGAACTACTGGATGGAATCAGGCCAAGATAGTGTACAATAAGGTGGAAGGTAGATTTTTATTGCATGTTTGTAAATGCACAAAGCACGACAAATAAATCCTACCTGACCTGCTGAGGATTTCTAGAATTTTACATTTTTATTTCAGCTTTCTGACATTTACAATATTTTGCTTTTTTTTATTGAGGAAAGGCATTGCTGATTTGTTTCTAATAAGCTGGATCAAGCGCCTGGGAAATGTTAAGCCATGGGCGAGAAGCAACCTAGAATATAAAAAAACTAATTGAAGGAGGACAGATTGCGGTGATTTCAAAGTAAATTTGTTCCATGAGAATTGGAAGCAGACAATTGCCAGGAAAGACCATTTCAATGTGATGCCTTTGAAAAGGGATGGCTCATGTCCAGTCAATGTATATGCCCACAGGGGAAAAGGAGCAATCAAAGCCAAAATTCAATGGATAATAAAAGCACTAGAGCGTTAGCTGAAGAAGAAAAAGAGTGCATATGGCATGAGGGATATACATTTAGCATCTAATTTGGAATATGACATCTCCAACAATACCGCATTCCCTCACAACTGCATTAGAATGTCACATGAGATTACATGCCTAATTCTTGTGAGTTATGTAATATGTATTCTGTTTATATGTTTGTGTCTTGCAATTATATAATGTGTATAAAATATGTAATAAAACCAGAATCTTGAATTTGGTCCAGGTGTCAGTTTCTATACTGATCAGACTGTAAGTTTGAAGTCAAATTCATGATGGTTAGAAGGATATTATTTGTATAAGTGATTAAAAAGTTGGATGGTATGAAGCATTGTGAGGGAGAATAGGAGCAAATAATGGAGGGTTGCATGGCAACGAGAAGGGTTGGAAAATTTGGTGGGGCCTGGTACAAGATTTATAAAGATGAGAAAGAAGAGATTTCAGAAAGTTTACTGCTGAGTGATGACCACAATATTCTGATGATGGAGATGGAACATTTTTGATGAGTTGAATACTAAGGACATGAATATATTTGAGGTGATGGCGTAGTGTTATTATTGCTAGATTAGTAATCCAGAAATACCGGTAATGTTCTGTTTCAAATCCCAGCAAGGTCGATGGAGGAATTTGAATTCAATTTTAAAAATACCTGCAATTAGAAATCTCATAATGACCATGAAATTATGTTGGAAAAACTCATCTGGTTCATTAATACCATTTGGGGATGAAATGTATCTTCATAGAAACTGATCTGGCCTACTTGTGACTCCAGACCAACAGCAGTGTGATTGACTTATAGTTGCCCTCTGAAATGGCCCAGCAAGCCACAATCAGAAGGTCTCAAAAAAGGAATGAAACTGGACAGACCACCTGTCGATCTAGGCACCAGAACCACGGCGCAAACACGGCCCTGAGAACACTGCAGTCTTGTGCTGAAATTGGAAGACTTGTCTTATGAGTCAAGCAACAGTCTGATTAATCATTCTCATGGAATTATACTTTACAGGCAATGTCCCAGACATCATCATCTCTGGGTATGTCTTGTCCCAATGGCAGGACAGGGCAGTAGATGCAGCAGCATAGTGGTATACAGTCATGAACGAGTTGCTATGATCGTGTTCAACATTGACTCTAAACCCGATGGAGTCTTAGGGCATCAGGTCAAACAAGGAAACCTTCTGCTGATTGCCACGTACTACCACCCCACTTGGCTGGTAAATCAGCCCTCTTCCATATTGAACACCACTTGGATGCACTGAGGGTGGCAGGCCACAGAATGGACTCTGGTTGGGGGAATATCAATGTTCACCATCAAGAGTCGCTCAGCAGCAGTACGGCTGATTGAACTGTCTGAGTCCTAAAGGACATCGCTGCTGGACTGGGTCTGCCGTAGGCGGTCAAAGAACCAACTAGAGAGAACCTTGACCTTATCTTTACTAATTTGTCTGCCGCAAATGCATTTGTCTTTGACAGTATTGCTAAGTGTGACTACTGCACAGACCTTAAGGAGATCAAGTCCTGCCTTCACTTTGAGAATTCCTTACATTGAGTTGTGTGGCACTATGATTGAGCTAAATGGAATAGACTTCAAACAGATCTAGCGACACAAGACTTGACATTCATAAGGCGTCATAAGCCATCAGCAGCAGGAGAATCAAACTCCAACACATTCTGAACCTCATGGCCCAACATATCCCACACTCTATCTGGGTCCAGGTTAATTACCATCAAGCCAGGGGTCAACCCTGATTCAGTGAAGAGTGCAGGAGGGCATGCCAGGAACAGCAGCAGGCATACCTATAATTGTAGTGTCAACCCGGTGAAGCTACAAAAAAAATGACTTGTGCGCCAAACAACATAAGTAGCAGGTGATAGTGCTCAGCAATTCCTCAGCCAATTGATCAGATCTAAACTCTGTAGTCCTGCCACATCCAGTTGTGAAAGGTGGTGAACAATTAATCTGGACCCAAATAATGTTCTGGGGACCGAGCTTCAAATCCTACCACGGCAGATGGTGGAATTTGAATTCAATAAAAAACTGAAATTAAGAGTCTAATGATGACCATGAATCTCGTGTTGATTTTGGGAAAAATCTATCTGGTTCACTAATGCCCTTTAGAGAAGGAAAATACCATCTTTACCTGGTCTGGCCTACATGTGGTTGACTCTTATCTACCCACTGGGCAATTAGAGATGGGCAATAAATGCTGGCCTAGCCAGCAACACCCTCATCGGATGAATGAATGAAAAAATAACATCTCGTTGGAGGAGGATGCTTGACAAATACCCCCGTCCTCAATGTTGGGGGAACGCAGCACATCAGTGCAAACTATAAGGCTGAAGAATTCACAATTATCTTCAGCTAGAGGTGCCAATTGGATGATCTATCTTTGACTCCTCCAGAGGTTCATAGCATCATAGTTGCCAGTCTTTGGCCAATTGAGTTCACTCCACATGGTATCAAGAAACGTTTGTTGGTACTGGATACTGCAAAGGCTATGGGCCCAATAAACCTTCTGGCAACAGTACTAAAGACTTGTGCTCCAGAACTTGCCACGCTCCTAGCCAAGGTGTTCCAGTACAACACTAACATTGGTATGTACATGACAAGTGGATGATTGCCCAGCTATATCCTGTACACGAAAACCATGTCATATCCAACCCATTCAATTAGTGCCCTAATAGTTGACACTCAATTATTGGTAAAATGATAATTACAACTGAAAGTGAATATAAATTGATTATTGTGGTGCAGGAACTCATATATTTTCAATTATCTTATATGATACCACCTACTTTGTACAACTTTAAAATGTCAAAAATTGTACAGGGTGCACTGATATGCATCACGAATTTATTCAAAATGAAAATAGCCAAAAATTTCTGATTGTAAAAGCATAAGATCAAAATAGAACCTACAAAGGGCAATACAGAAAATTAATCTGTATGATCTGACAAAAATACCAGGGAGACAATGATTTGTCAGAAGTATGGAATTATAAATAGATTAACAGATACTCATAATGAACTTCAGCTATCCCTGTGTTCTCAGGATGATTTAAATTCCTAAGTTATCTTTAATTAATTACTGACCCAATTACTTTGTCTAATGTCAAAGGTTGTTTGCCATTCTTGTTGGGTTGTTTTGATGTCAGCCTGAGTTGACAGCACAAGAGACAAGCCAATGAATAACAGTAGCCTTGGAGGTCATAGAAAAACAAGAAAAATGTTGACATCTTGCATTAGATATTTCTGATTAGAAAATAAATGAATCTGATGTACAAAATAGAACACATGGGAGATCATTTTCAGAAAACCTGTTAGGAGGGTTTGTATATTTGGAATACTTTACATCTGATCTCATGAAAATAAAAGTGCAGTGTTTTCTGTTACAGTACCATCATTCAGACCAGCAAAACCCTTGCCATTTTATGGATTTTGAAAAAGATGTTGCACACTTGAAGGTGCGTTGCCACTCCTCAGTTAAAAAAAAACATTTTTGCATAATCTTTTGTTGCACAAACTTTAAAGAGCCTGAGATCAAATGTAAGATGGGATTGGTGCTAAAAATGCTCTATCGACTCGTTGTCAACAGAATGCACTGACCCTGCCTCAAAAATTTAGTTTTAATCCCATTACTAGCCAACATTGTGATTTCCCTTGAGTGAATATTGTAATTTTGTACCATTTGTGTTTTATATGGATACTTCAATGATATGGTCTTAAGATCACTGATTCATCCTTGCAGTCTAATTTAAATTTAGACTCAAGCACTAGGGATGAGTTGCGCCGTATCATGCAACCCCTAAAGCAATCCTTGTCAAAACTGTTATCTGTTCATACTGTCATGGTAGAAATCAAAAATCACTCACTAGTGAGACTATTTGATGGGATGGTGCAATTTAAGATAAGGACATCCAATGGTAATGAAAAAGAGACATGATTGTGTAAACTGAATGCATAACTGAGAAGCTGGACTGTTTTTTATGTCCCTCTGCTGGTTTGAAAATAGGGAAGCATGTTCAATTCTGTGACTCGTTTTCCTGCCCATATCCAAACCCTCTGGCAGCCCTAGGCTTAAGTCAAGTTTTGTAAGAGGCAAATTAATGGTTTACTCAAGGACCTAAAATTGTCCTAGCCTAGCATCTGCAATCTTCCAGTAGTTACATCACTCTCATTTCCGAGAATTTAAAGGTTAGTACTAAAGTCACTATAGTTCACAATCTTAGGTCCCTCAGTAACTTCGGATGAAACTTAACCAGACTTTCCATTTGCCTTCAGCCCTGAACTAACCTTGCTCCACAGCACTTGAAACTACCTACACTCCAACAAGTGGCCACCACCCTGCTGGTGCTGCCAAGCCTATTGAGTTGCAGACATCTGATAGATTGGCAGAAACTGCTCCCAAAGTTGGGGCAGAAGTTGCCTATAAAGCAATTAATGCTACTCCCACTGTAAAGTTGCTGCAGAACATACATAGGCAGGATCCCTGATCTTTTAGCTGGGGAGTTGGTGGTGAAATTGCACTGTCCCATAAAATCCAGCCCATTTAGTGAGTGTTTGCACCTTTACTGGAAGAGGATGTTACCAATGTAACAGTGAAGTAGGAGGTTGCGTGAGAATGAATAGCAGAAAAATAAAGAGGAGATAATTAACAGGTTGGTAAGTGGAAAGTCTGGATAAGTTTCATCCTAAGGGACCTAAGGTTGTGAATTATAGTGTCTTTAATACTGTCCTTTAAATTCTTGGAAATGAGAGTGATGTAAGTACTGGAAGATTGCAGATGCTACACCCTGGTTGAAACTGAGGAGAGGAATAAACTCTGGCAACTAAGACGTGATGAAGCAGCTTTTAGAAACAAAAATCCAAGACAAGATTAATTGGCATTGGAAAAGTATGCGCTAATAAATGGAAGTCAACACGGATTTTTTTTAATGAAAAATATTTTTGGTTGACTCGATTAAATTCTTACATGAAATCGCAGATTGAGTTGATGAGGAGTGCTATGTATACATGTATTCAAAATGCACTTGATAAAACACCATGTAATAGGTATGATAGCAAAATTAAACACTTGTGTACCACTGATTGAGCACTCTAAGATAAAGGAAGTAAGAAGTGAAAAAGTAACAGATTGTTGACGACTCAACTCAATGTCATTGAACCTTGCACAAATGCATGAGCATAAATATCCATTTGTTTTGTGTGTCAGGAGGATTTGTGTACTGCTATTTTCTGAATTCTGTAGCAAGATTGATGCAACGTCCATTTGAAAGTCAAAATGAGAAAACTTATTGTTGGAATCGGAGGGTAAGTACAAGTGAATTTAAATTACTGTTACTGACTTTGCTGCTGTACATGATGAAATGATATGTTTCTGAGTTTACTTTCCCTGTATTCATAAGATGAAACTATTCTCACAGCAACTTTTTTTTTCAAAGTTAGAATTATTACTTGCAACTTGTCACAAAATGAGGTAAAGTAGTGGACCAAAGGTCTGTTCTCTTGTTTGAGAGAGATATCTGGTGGTGAGTTTATCCTGAGGGTCTCCATGTCTCAGGTGAGGGGCCAGGTTGAGAAGGTGGGACCTTCATGCTAACCTCAGCTGATAGGGAATTGATCCCTTGCTGCTGGCATTACTCTGCACTGTAAACCAGCTGTCCAGCCAACTGAGCTAACCAAAATAGAAACAGGCCGAAGAGGTTTATACAAGTACGTATAGTACTCCTCTCACCTTTCTTCATTTAACCCCATCAACGTATTGTTCTTTTCTTGTCTACCTAATACTTTCTATTTTAAATACATCAGTACTCATAGCCTCAACTACATGTGGTCACTAGTTCCATATTTTAACTGCGCTCTGGATAAAGAAGTTTTTTTCTAAACTCTTTACTGGATTGGTTAGTATGTATCTTATGTTTATGGCCAGAATCTAGGCTTACTTGCAATCGGAAAATCAGGTGGAATCTAATGCCCTCTTACCAGACGTGTTTTGAGGCAGGATAGAGGATGCACTTTGGAGACTCCACTTCCCCTGCTTCTGTCAAATAAAGTTTCTTAAATGTCAATTTAAGGATCTAATCCGGCCATAGCTGTTATTCAACCAGCAATGGGTGCAGCAGTCACCACATGAGAAGCCCAAAGAGTCATCCCAGGGCTTGTGGTTTAGCAGAATGGGAAGGGAGAGGTTTTGCTTGTTCATGTCTGATAGAGAGACATGGCATTGGAACTACTGAATGACTGAAAACCCTCCACTCCATTTCCTACAACCACCCCCTTTACACTCCCCAGTCAGTGACCTCTTCCTGATGACTTCCATCCCCTTTTCACTGAACTGTGACCCAGGTCTCATGGCTATCCTGTGCCTTTGGCAGCTGCGTTACCAGCAGCTATCATTGCGAGCACCACTTGGGGCTGTCCACAATGGTTAGTTTATGTTTTACTGTTAGATGAAATTTCTCAGGATTAGGATGCAGTGTAACAAACTATGTTGGCTGCCTACAAGTCAGTGCCTGAGATATATAGGCAAAGGTTCTAGAATTTAAGGAAGCTGCAGAATTCAAAAAGGTTAAGTAAAGTAAACTTTATAGATGGATAAAAGGATAACAAGGTGAAGCCATGTATGAAACTTCAGAGAATTTAAAAACATAGGTTAAATGAAAGATATGAAGGGTTTTTATCTAAAGAGAAGATAACCCCTTTTTCTTCAAAGGAAGAATCCAAGCCCATAATTATTTTGAGTAATACAAGGGCTACTCAAACTCCCTTGCTGGAGAAGGATTAAGTTTTCCTCCAGATAGTTCATTGAAAGCAAAGTGTTGGTAAATAGGATAGATGTGGTGTATATCCCAGTTCCATTGTACAGGGTCCAATTGGAGTGAGACTTGGTGTCTGGACTAGTGGTAGTTGGGTTAGTTAAGAAATTTGTGTTGATAGAGTTGACTTATAACTGGGAAATGCTTTGGCAGGAATCAAAGTCGTAACTTCGCTTATAGTTACAGAAAGTCCAGTTGAGGCAAAAGAAATGGAACAGTTGCAGGAACAAGTTTTGGGTATTTTTCCATCTTGTGTGGTGATCAGAGCAAAGTCCATCATCAGAGATCATAGTAAAACCACGACCAGGTTGTAGGTTAGTTAAAATTTTATTTAAAAATGCAGATAGTTCAGAAGACATGTTTGGCATGTCTTCATTATTTGAGGCTCAGGAAGCAACTCCAGAGTTAATTAAGTTAACAAAGACACTCACACTGAAACCAACGTTGAAGGGGTTCCAGGGTGCTGTCATAAGAAAAACAGTTTTAATAAGGAAATGGAAGCATCCTCACAGACCTCCAGACAAACGTAAGAACCAGGAACAGAAGTAGGCCATCCAGCCCTTCGAGCTCGCTCCGCGATTCAATAAAATCATGGCTAATTTTATGGTGGCCTCAGCTCCACTCACCCATCCTCACACCATAATCCTTCATTCCTTTACTGTTCAAAAAATTATCTATCTTAGCTTTAAAAACATTTAATGAAGAAGCCTCAACTACTTCACTGGGTAGGGAATTCCACAGATTCACAACCCTTTGGGTGAAGAAGTTCCCCCTCAGTTCAGTCTTAAATCTGCTCCCCCTAATTTTGAGGCAATGGCCTCTTGTTCTAGTTTCACATGCCAGTGCAAACATCCTCCCTGCTTCTATCTTATCTGTTCCCTTCATAACTTTATATGTTTCTGTAAGATCCTCCCTCATTATTCTAAATTCCAACGAGTACAGTCCTAGTCTACTCAGTCTCTCCTCATAAGCCAACTCTGTCAACTCTAGAATCAACCTCATGAACCTCCTCTGCACCCCCTCCAGTGCCAGTACATCTTTTCTCAAGTAAGGAGACCAAAATTGCACGCAGTACTCCAGGTGTGGCCTCACCAGCACCCTATACAGCTGTAACATAACTTCCCTGCTTTTAAACTCAATCCCTCTAGCAATGAAGGACAAAATTCCATTTGCCTTCTCAATTACCTGTTGTACCTGCAAACCAATCTTCAGTGCTTCATGCACAAGGACACCTAGGTCCCTCTGCACAGCAGCATGCTGCAATTTTTTACTGTTAAAATAATAGTCCTTTTTACTGTTATTCCTACCAAAATGGATGACTTTACATTTATCAACATTGTACTCCATCTACCAGACCTTTGCCCACTTGCTTAAAACTGTCTGTATTCCTCTGCAAACTTTCAGAGTCCTCTGCACACTTCGCTCAACCACTCATCTTAGTGTCATCCGCAAACTTTGACACACTACGCATGGTCCCCAATTCCAAATCATCTATGTAAATTGTAAACAATTGCAGTCCCAACACTGATCCCTGAGACACACCACTAGTCACTGATCGCCAATCTGAAAAGCATTCATTTATCCCCACTGTTGCTTCCTGTTAGTTAACTAATCCTCTATCCCTGCTAATACATTGCCTGTAATGCCATGTACCTTTATTTTGTGCGGCACCTTGTCAAATGTCTTTTGGAAATACAGATACACCATATCTTCTGGGTCCCCATTGACTACTGCGCTCATAATGTCTTCATGGAATTCCAGCAAATTAGTTAAACATGACCTGCCCTTCATGAACCCATGCTGCATCTGCCCAGTGGGACAATTTCTAGCTAGATGTCTTGCTATTTCTTCCTTGATGATAGATTCAAGCATTTTCCCCACTACAGAAGTTAAGCTAACCGGTCTATAATTCCCCATCTTTTGTCTACCCCCTTTTATAAATAGTGGCATCACATTTGCTATTTTCCAATCTGCTGGAACTGCCCCAGACTCCAGAAAAATTACCATGAGCACATTTGCTTTTTCTCCCACCATCCTTTTATTATCTTAGGATGCATTCCATCAGGGCCAGGAGGTTTGTCTACCTTTAGCTCCATTATCTTGCCCAACACTACCACTTTCGTGATAATGATTGTTTCTAGAACCTCACCTACCTTAGTCTCCTTGTCATCAATTACTGGCATGTTATTCATGTCCTCCACTGTGAAGACCGACAAAAAAAATACCTGTTCAATGCCTTGGCTTTTCTTCATTTCCCATTCTTAAATCCCCCTTCTCATCTTCTATAGGACCAATCTTTACATTAGCCACTCTTTTTCGTTTTATATATTTGTAGAAACTTTTGCTGTCAGTCTTTCTAGTTATAATGGTCCCACCCAGGTTGCTGAAGGTAGCACGTAAAATTCTTATAACAGGTTGCATATACAGATACACACAGAAAACCCAGTCTTCAAAAAATGGGTATTTTATGTGGGCAGATTTAATAAAGATGTGCAGTTCTGCAGAACATGTCAAACATGTTTCGTGTTAGGAAAACTTCAACATGTAATCTGTTCTGCACTTTTGATACTGACACCAGTTTTTGAAGAATCATTTACTTGAGTGTTGGTGTGCTGTGTTGAATCAAAAACAAAAGTAGAACATCACTATATCCTCATAATTATGGAAATGACAACTTGATACCCAGAGGTCATTTCTTTAAGGATGAGTACAGCTGTCATGGTAATGGAAAAGTTAACACAGTTTTTACTTGTTATAGATTAACAGTTGAGATACAGACTGTTTTCCAGGAAGTCATTCACGGTTCACTTCATCGAAGTGAACAGTTTATCATCTGCAAATATAGGGAGCTTTGGGTAGGTAACAGACTTTCAAATCATGATTAAGGCATACTGTTACAAATACCTACAGGATTGGAGAAAGGATTAGATATTTTATTATTTGCGAACAGAGATTCACGAAATAAATCTACGGGATTTAGTTCATTTGAATTGGTTTATGGTCATGAGATTAGAGTGCTGTTAAAATTAATTAGGGACAAGTTCTTAAATGAAAAAGGTAAACTTCAAAATTGGATTACATGTCCATGTTTCTAGAAAGACTCACAAGGAGCATATAGAGTGGCACAGAACATTTCAAAATTTCACAGGCGAAAATGAAAGAATGGGCAGATAACAGTCCAGCAAACCGAGTGTTTCAAGTGGGAGGTGAAATATAAGTATTGTTACCATTACAAGATGAACCATTGAAAATCAAATTCAGTGGTCCATATAAAGTAGTTACTGTTGTATACAGTTTCTGTCTCAAAGCTTAGCTTTCCTTCCTTCCTTATTAGTATCTGGTTGTCCACTAGATTCTAAAATTTATTGCTACTGATGTTGTTGCTTCAGAAAGAAAACAATCCTTCTTTGCTTTAACTACCCTGGCATTGAACTTACATACCAGTATTGACAGTGCTAGAGGGAGACTTCTTAGTGCTTTTAGATTTTGGCTTGAAGCTTTGTAAAAATGGAGAAGGTTTTTGGCTTAGTCTAAATAGCAACAGAGCCCCACTTCTCAGAAGTCCTGCCATTGAACCCGGCATCCATCAGTTTTGGGGAAGGGAAAATGGGGACAGATTGTACTAGTTTAAGGAGGCATCTGCTTTGGTGTTGCTGCCCTTAAGCTCTAAACCTTTCAGAAGAAGATTGAAATCTGCTGGAGTTCTTTGGATAAGTAGGGTACGCTTTTGGATAGATTCAGGGAAACCTTTGAGAGAAGTAATATGCTCTTTAGGAGAGATCAAGAATGCTTTCCAATTATTAAAAGTAGACATAAGTGTGTAAAAGGTGATAAACTCTTTGGTACTGTCAGGCTGTGCAGGGAAGTTCAAGCTCAATTGAACTGTAAAGCTGTGATCATGAAAATGTGTTCCAAGAATTCAGTTACAAAACAAAAGAGACAACTTGGACTCAAAAGTTTAACCCTGTTTTTCTTTCCACAGGAGCTTCCAGACCTGCTGAGTTTCTCCTGCATTTTCTGTTTTTATCTGTGAGGTGCATACGATGGATTGGCACATCTAAATTTCAAATATTAAAAACACCTTTACAATCAAACCAGGAGGGATGAACAGAAATACTGTTCCATCTCTTTGTGCCTGGTCATAACACTGTCAGGCTGTCAAGGGATTTAAATACCTTGACCATTAACAACATAAAAAAGATCAGTCCTTTCGATTTCACGCTATCTGTTGGCATAAACCTGAGTGTTATCGTTGTATTGGGTTGCATGATGCTTTCACAAACTTTCACCATAGAAGCAAAGAAAAATAGGAATGGGAATAGGCCATTCAGCCCTTTGAGCCTGCTCGCCCATTCAATATGGTCATGGCTGATCATCCTACTCAGTATCCTATACCAACTTTTGCCCCAAACTGTATGATCCTTTTAGCCTAAAGAACTAAATCTGTCTCTTCTTGAAAACATTCAATGTTTTGGCCTCAACTGCTTTCTATGGCAGAAAATTCTACAGGGTCACCAATCTCTGAGTCAGGAAATTTCTCCTCATCTCAGTCCTAAATGGCCTGCCCTTAGACTGTGATCCCTGACTCTGGACTCTCCAGTCATCAGGAACGTCCTTCCTGCATTTCTCCTGTCTAGTCGTGTTACAATTTAATAGGTTTCTATGAGATTTCCCCCTCATTCTTCTCAACTGTAGTGATATAGAGTCAGAGATATACAACAGGGAAACAGACCCTTCAGTCCAACTCGTCCATGCTGACCAGATATCCTAAATAAATATAGTCCTGTTTGCCAGCATTTGGCCCATATCCCACTAAACCCTTCCTATTCATATACCCATCCAGATGCCTTTTAAATGTTGTAATTGTACCAGCCTCCACCACTTCTTCTGGCAGCTCATTCCATACATTCCTGACCCTCTGCGTGAAAAGGTTGCCCCTTATGTCCCTTTTAAATCTTTCCCCTTTCACTTTTGGATTCCCCTACCCTGGGGAAAAGACCTTGTCTATTTACCCTATCCATGCCCTTCATGATTTTATAAACCTCGAAAAGGTTACCCCTCAGCCTCCGATGTTCCAGGGAAAATAACCCCAGTCTATTCAGCCTCTCCCTGTAGCTTAAACCCTCCAAGCCTGGCAACATCCTTATAAATCTTTTCTGAACCGTTTCAAGTTTCACAACATCCTTCCTATACTATACCTCCAATTTGGTGTCATCTGCAAACTTACTAACCATATCTCCTGTGTTCACATCCAAATCATTTATATAAATGACGAAAAGTAGTGGGCCCACTACCGATCCTTGTGGCACACCGCTGGTCACAGGCCTCCAGTTTGAAAAACAACCCTCCACCACCACCATCTATCTTCTACCTTCGAGCCAGTTCTGTATCCAAATGGCTAGTTCTCCCTGTATTCCTAACCTTGTGATCTAACCAGACTACCATGAGGAATCTGGTCGAACACCTTACTGAAGTCCATACAGATCACATCCCCCGCTCTGCCCTCATCAGTCCTCTTTGTTATTTTCTTGGGGGCGGCACGATGGCTCAGTGGTTAGCACTGCTGCCTCACAGTGCCAGGGAACCGGGTTCGATTCCACCCTTGGATGACTGTCTGTGTGGAGTTTGCACATTCTCCCCGGGACTGCGTGGGTTCCTCTGGGAGCTCCGGTTTCCTCCAACAATCCAAAGATGTGCAGGTTCGATGGATTGGTCATGCTAAATTGCCTGAAGTGTCCAGGGGTGTGTAAATTAGGTGGATTAGACATGGGAAATACCAGGTTACAGGGAAAGGATAGGGGAATGGGTCTGGGTGGGATGCTGTTCGGAGGGGCGGTGTGGACTGGTGGGCCGAATGGCCTATTTCCACACTGTAGGGATTCTATGATTCTATGAAAAAACTCAGCCAAGTTAATGAGACATGATTTCCCACACACAAAGGCATGTTGACTATCCTTAATCAGTCCTTGCCTTTCCAAATACTTGCAAATCCTCTCCAACAACTTGCTCACCACCAATGTCAGGCTCACCAGTCTATAGTTCCCTGGCTTTTCCTTACCACCTTTCTTAAATAGTGGCACCACGTTAGCCAACATCCAGTCTTCCAGCACCTCACCTGTATAGCCCTAACCAATACAGTCCCTCTTCATACTTCAGTTCTGTCATCCCAGGAATCAGACTGGTAAATCTTTGTCATACTTATCCATGGCCAGATTATCCTTTGTTGGAAAAGGAGACCAAAACTGCACACAATATTCCAGGTCCGGTCTCAATCAGGGCCCTGTACAATTGCAGCAGGATATCCCTGCTACAGTACTCAAATCCTCTCACTATGAAAGCCAACTTACCAATTAACTTTTTCATTGCATGCTGCATCTGTATGTTACTTTCAGTGACTGGAGTACAAGGACACCCAGGTCTCGTTGCACCTTTCCTTTGCCCAATATATCACCATTTAGATAATAATCTGCCTTCCTGTATTTGCCACCAAAGTTGATAACCTCACATTTATCATAAATAATTTCATTATCAAGAATTTTCCTGACTCTGCACTCCCAAATTGGCAGTGATGGCAGGCAAATCATTGACAAAGCTGCAGTTGTTATTCTATATTGTCCTCATCAGTTGCCTTAGGTCTTTTTGTGTTTTGTAATTTTAGAGTGCCTTTCCAGGATTTCGCTGAGGCTGCTAATAATCAATCAAAATAAAAAAAATCTTATTTAAATATTGGAATTGAGAGGGATCTGGATATTCTTCTACAAAAACCATGGAAAGTTAAAGTGCAGGAACAGGAAGCAATTAGAGAAACAAGAAGAGATTGAATAGACGAGGTCTGGATTTCCATATTGAGATTGAGGAAAGTTGGCCTGACTCCCAATAAAGGGTTGGCCATTTAGGACTGAAATGAAGAAAAATTTCTTCACTCAAAATGTCATGGATATTTAAATTCTCTACTTCAGAGATTTGTGGATCTTCAATGAATGAACATATTCAAACCAGAGATCAATATATCTTTAGATTCTAAACGAATGTGGACAGTGTAGAAAGGTTGCATTGGCTTAGAAGATCAATCATGATCATGTTGAATGACAGAGCTGGCTCAAAAATTCAAATGGTCTATACCTGCTCCTATATCTTATAACTGGAGTCATATGTGGACAAGGTCTGATGTGGTTGGAAGGTTCCATTCCCTGAAGAACACTTGTGAGCCAGTTAGAGCTTTATAAAAATTGCACAGCCTTAAGAGTCATTCTTCATATGCAAGTGCGTAAATTCCCTGATTGATTGAAGATGAACCAGTAGCATCTGTTTGTAGTTCAGTACTAAAATCTGTAAACTACCACATTGCTTTAGGATATGTGAAGAACTCCTAGATTCAGTGCTGGTTACACATGAAACTTAGCTGCCATGTTCTTGCCTATTCATTTAACCTATGTAAGTCTTTTTGAAACCTCAATGTAACTGCCTTCTAACTCCATGCCCGCCCAGTTTGGTGTCAGCAGCAAGTTTGGAAATATGACAACTGGTCCCCACAACCAAATCATGTATATCTGTTCTAAGCAGCCTTGGATCTATGGGGAGAAAAAAAAAGTGAAGTACTAGTGCCTTAAAAACATCTGGGGAACCATAACATACATTACTAGCTTAGAAAGCCAAAATCATAGACTAATGAGAGATGAGTTTAAATCCCACCACAGGAAATGGAAATTTGAAAGTAAATTAATAAATCTAGAATAAAAATTTGATTTAAGTAATAGTAACCATGTTACTACTAAATTGCTAGAAGCTACAGTCTTATTTTTGCAAGCTGTGGGGTGTCACATGAGAATCCCAATGCAGCTCCAGGTAATACCTGACCGAGATGAGAATGGGATGGGGATATGGTGGGAATGAGAGCCACCATTGCAATGGAGGAGTCATCTGGAGCAGAAGTGCCGTAAATTATCTTTGTAAATTGTGAAAGTGCACTTCTATTACAACGTTTAGTTATTTTGATGCGTTATGGCACTCTAGACCATTGATGCAAGTTTGCAAAGTATTATCTTATCGCAATATACAATTGGTGTCTGGTTGAGTGATGCAGAAGCTCAGGCTAATCCTTGACTTCATGAGTTCAAATTGCACCATGGCAGCTGATAGAAACTCGTCTCAGTAATGGTAATGATGCGCCTATCATGAATTGTTGTCAAAGCTCATCTGGCTCATTAATGTCCTCGAAGAAGAAAGTCTATCATCCTTACTGAGTCTGACCTACACATGACACCATTCTTAACTGCCCTGAAATGGCTTAGCGAGCCACTGAGTTCATGGGAAATCAGGGTGGGCAACAAATGCAGACCATGCTGATGAATAAAAAATAAGTATGAAATTGTTGTATTTTTAAAATTCAGAATCACAAATGGCGGAAAAACTACACTTGCGTGCAAACTTAAGAAGGCTTTTCCAAACAGTGTGTTACTATGTCAAGATACATTTTTTAAGGTAAGATTTAAAATACATCTTTTTTTAACAATTTCTATTCTTACTTTAAATACATTAACACTTACACGAGATGAGAAAAGACCGATATGTCCATTCATATTAATATTGAATAGAATTATTTATATATCCCCACTCTTCACTTTACAACCTTCTAAAAGGGACCCTCCCTAGTGAGCGGTGAGCATATTAGCTGATCTTGTCACAGTTATTTGCAGTTTGCTATTCTGTCAGGTACTGGTAAGAAACTAAATGATATTTTCTCCAGGTCTCCATGTTGGTCATTATTTCCCAACATCTCCGGGCAAGCTTCATGGACACATACAAGTTCTGATCATGGAACTCAGCATTGGCAAAACACCAGCCTCACCACAACACTATGGCATATCCTGGACTAACTTATAAAAGTTATAATACTTGTAATACACTTCAGAACTTCAATACTGCACACTGACACTTTACATTGCAATGCTACTACCAGACTACTTGGTCATCTAATGTATCGAAACAGGGTGGATCTCAGGGCTCTTAGCTTGTTTGCTTTCTTTTCTGTTTTCACTCACTTTGCTATTACTGGACGCTCATTGCATCTTTTCTTGCCTTTTTGTGCATTGCCTCTTCATACAGTACTTACAGGCTTACATTAGTTCTGTTTTGCCTTGCCTTATAGCACATTCAGAAAGTAAGGTATTTCGGCATGGTTGACAGTCCTGAACAGTCAAGGGTATAGACATGGTGTACAGCATTGAGCTCCGTCAATGTCACATCTTTGGCATGTGCCATTAACTTACCTGACGAATACATTGTACGTCCTTCAACCAAATGGACATGTCTGAACATCTAAGGGGAGTAATCTTCATTGAGTAAAGGGGAACTATGGTCAGTAAGAGCTGCTGCCACAGTCAGTCAAGGACTTCATCCAGCCTCAGTCCAGTGTGGGGTCGGGGGTGCACGTGTGTTTGTTTGGCCATGGTCAGTCAGCCACTTGGTGCAATCAGGATCTAG